AGAGATGCTGATATTAGGTCCATTGGGGGATCAGAAGGTACATTATTAGAATATTCTCTTGCTGGGCTGGGGAGATTGCTCAGTGGGTAAAGTATTTGCTTTGTAAGCACGAGAACCTGAGTGTGATCATCAGAAGCCATGTAAAAAAGAACGTGAATGTAATGGTATATGATTGCAATCTCAGTGAAGGGTAGATGGAGACAGGTGGTGCCTGGCACTTGCTGGCTAGCAGGACTAACCCATTTGGTGAGTGGTAAGTCCATGAGGAACTATCTCATAATGGTGGGCAGCATGTAAGACATAAAATCCAAGTTGTCTTCTAACCTCTGCACACATATGGATGTGCACTCACACATGTGTGCCTGTACACACACACACACACACACACACACACACACACACACACACACACTCCCTTGTAATTCAGCTGGCTAGCTAATTTGGGAAAGTACCAGTTTAGAGAAGTCACCTTGATAAGTTTTTAACCAAGGCATTGCGTATGTCCTGAAAAAAAGTCAAATTTGTCTGGATTTTATAATGAGTTGAATCTAATAGTTACATAAAATTTGGCAATTTCCTATAAAATAAAGTTCAGAAGAAACTTAGCATATCTTTAATTTTAACATAAAAATCTCTCCCCTGTCACTGTGAGTTCAAGGCCAGCCTGGTCTCCAAAGTGAGTTCCAGGAAAGGCGCAAAGCTACACAGAGAAACCCTGTCTTGAAAAACCAGAAAAAAAAAAAATCTCTCCCCTGTATGCATTTTAGAATGATGCAGACAGAAGAAATACTTGTCCCAGTGGGACTCGGCTTGGTAAACAGCAGGGTTCTCTTAAATCCCTCCATCCTCTGGAAGTCTTACATCCAAATCTTAGCTCTTTGTATGCATCCATGTTCCATGTGACCGTCTGGACCAGCTCAGGATAAGCCTGTGCCTGTCTCTTCTGTATGATCAACATGCAGGTTTGAGAAGACAGTTGACCCATGTCTCCCTTCGTCTTCTCTTCTCCAAGAAAAGCATCCCCAGCTTCTTCCACTCGTCCCCAGATAGGCACACTGGGCCCATGCTTGTTGGTTAATGCTGATTCTTCTGTTAGGTGGAAACTTGATCTTATCATGGCTTCTTTTGAACCCTGGTAGTTAGTTCCTAGCAGTAATTGTCTGTGCATTGAGTCAAAGAAACACAAAGAACATTCCTTTTCTTCTAGGATTTATAGAAGACTGGGAGGGGCTAACTGATCTGGACCTCATAGGATATCTTTCCTCTCCCCACTGCCCACCCCAGCTCACTTGACTTGGCACAGAGTTTTATGTATCCTATTCTGTCCTTAAGACACTATATGCAACTGAGGAGGAACTTATCCACCTCTCCGAGTGCACTGCCACTTGATTTATTTGGTGGTGGTGGCAATGAGTAGGACCCAGGGCTTCGTACATGCTAAACAAGCAATCTACCAGGTATATCTCAATCCTTCTCCTATTTTTTAAGGAGTATTATTATAGTTAGTACAGTTGCCCATACACATGCACTATTTCCCACATTCTTCAAGAATTTTTCTACATTACAGGTCCCCAGGGCCCAAGAAATTCTTGACATATCATTTAAAATATTTTGAGAGATTGGCTTCACACCTGACAGCTGACATATGCTGAGACCCTCTAGGAAATGAACTGGTAGACCAACAGAACCTGCAGTCTGTTATGCTTATGGGTGAGAACCTGGCCTCCGGGGGGCGGAGTCTTACATTATCACAGTTTCTGCCTAGGATGTGGGCCTCAGCATGAAGCACCTGTTCCGCAGGTGATCAGCCCCCATGCTTAGGCTCTTCTTTCAAAGAAGACTTGCCTTTCCTTGTTTGCTGGAAACCATGTAAAGAGAAGATCTGCGGGGCCCCCTTCTCTTCTTCTCCTCCATCTCTTCTACCTTTACCTTCTATTCCCTTCTCTCCCTTTCCTTCCTGAAAATCCTCCTGTCGCACATCAGAAATGGACCTGGATGCTGTTCCACAGTCAGCTATGACATACTGCAAATGGGACCTTAAAGTCCGGAAGCTGCACTTCTGCTTCCTTCCCGTTAGAAGGAAGACACCTTCTGGTCTGTTGTCAGGTGGCCAGCCCAGCCCAGCGGCAGGCGCAAGGCTCCCTGGCTTGAAATCCTGGCCTTGGCAGTTACCAGCTAGGTGCCTCTGAGCATATCACCTGGCACTGGGCCTCAGGGCTAAAACGAAAAGTGTATTAGTGCCTATTTCCAAGAAATGCACTGGAAATTAAGTGGTTAATTCATATAAATTATTAAAACAATATCTGACATGTAATTGGGGTACAATAAAAAAGTGTCACATTATTATTGAATAAACTATTTGAGAGAAAGTGTGTGTGTGTGTGTGTGTGTGTGTGTGTGTGTGTGTGTGTGTGTGTGTGAATTAACATGTTAGGACAGATGAGGTACCAACTTAAAGGTTTATTTGTAGTGTTTAGGTCACCTGATTGACCTGTATATATCAACGTGCTGAGTGGGGAATAAACACACGTGCACACACTGGCACACAATCTGAAAACCCCCTTCTGTTATAGTGAGATCTTTTCCCTTCCCTTCAGTTCCATCGCCCCTTCCCATTGGTTTGGAAGCTACACAATTACAAAATTTTGCTGTGTACTTTACAAGGTCTAAATCAGACACTGTTTTTCCTTTCTCCCCAAGGACTTTGGAGCATTCCCACTGGGGTTCTTTGCGATTAGGCAATTTCACACAGAACAGAGTCTTCACCTCCAAGTCAGCAGTCTCAGCTTTTGGTGCCTGGCTTGTTTAGCTCTTGTATCTTGACGACACTGCAGCCCTCTTTAAGAACGCCAACAGGAATCAAAGTTTTACTGTTGTGGAAACTACAGACCACTAGAGCTGAATAGGGCCTCAAAGATGGTTCAAACTAGTGCTTTTCAAAATCGTCACCAAGCCCAGCAATAAGAAGTAACAGCCTGGGGTGTAGACAGATGGATCAATGGTGAAGAGTGCATACTGCCCTTCCAGAGGACCTGAGTTCAATTCCCGGCACCCACATCAGGTAGCTCACAACTGCCTGACTCCAGCTCCAGAAGATCTGACCCCTCTGGCCTCCATGGGCACCTGCACTCATGTGCACATACTTGCACAAATACACGTCATTAAAAATAATAAAAATAAATCTTTTTAAACATGTGGATACACTGCTCTATCACCAGTACACCCATATGTGATATATAAAATTTCAGTAAAACTGTAATTCCCTTGGCCTGTGTGATATACTCTGTGCATTATTCCATCCTATTCTACCCCCTCTTTTTAAAAATGGTCCAAATCCACTGAAATGATTGCACACCCACTAAAGGATCTGTGCCACAGTTTGAAAATCCAGATGTTTTCTAAAGTCCCTGATTTACAGCTGAGGAAGCCCCACCTCTAGGCCATGGCATGGATCTCTGGGAGTTATACAGTCAGTGCTCGAGGACCTGGCTACTCTTCCTGCCCTCCACATCCAGTTCTTTACTCACATTAGTCAAACCATAAAAAACCACGTGTGATGGGGAAACAGTAGGCTTTGGTAATGTGTCACTATAAAACAGAGAGCTAACTTCTCCTGTTATCTCTTACACATCCAATTTTGGTCCCAGCAAAGCCCCAGCTCAGAGGCTCTAACGCAGTGCTGGGGACCGTTTCTCATCAGCTCTGATCCTCACATATGGCAGTGTGTGTGAACAACGAGGAGGAAACTGCCCAGAGATGGTTCTAACCAGTCAGAGCCACTAGTTGTTGATACGGTTGTATTGACTCGCTTGTTCTCTTTTCCACATTCGCTTTCAGCTCCTCGTCACTGTCTGGTACAGCCCCAAGCATATGGTAAGCTTGAGGTGAATATTTATTGACTTGTAAGCAATGTGTCATAAGGGCACTGAGAGAAAAGAACTGCATCATCATAAGGAGATGGGTCACACCACAGTGAAAAATGCTGTCTATGGAAGGAGAGCATGCATTCAAAACCAGGTGTCTCCTAAGAGCTATTTATTATGGACAAGGCGCATAACTTCTCTCTGCCAATCTCATAGCATGGTCCTATGAGTTAATCAAGGAAAACATTTCTCCCACCAGGTTTGGCTCGTAGTAAGCATATAAACGTTAGCTGCTGACTATTGCCTGAGGTTATGTTAACACAGCAGCAGAACACTGAACCTGTTTCAACATCACTGAGCTGAGAGGTAAGGTCAGAGTGATCCAGTTACTAGTGGATGGTGTTCATGTTCCACCACGGTCTACAAAGCACATTTCTAGCTATCACACCAGAAAGAATTGTTTCTTACAAAAGCAATGGAGATCACAGCAAACAATTAAGTAAATAGCCTGCGAATATGTCACAGAGAACAGACTGCTTAGGAAGCCCCAATGTGCATTGGTGATGGATGGAACTTCTGACTTGATCAAAGTCTGAAGATAATGCCTTGGGAGCCACGGCTGCCTGCCCCTGACAAAGCCCATTGTACAGTGTTACTTGGCGTGCGTGGGTGGGGTGGGGTGGGGTGGGGAGTTGTGTGTGTGTGGTGCATTAGCCATTGCTAGAATTTTCAAGAAAGTGTTTCGAAAGTCTGAAGTTGGAAACAGCAGAATGGGGAGAATATGAGTTCTGGAGTCCTGCATGACGCTGAGAGTGGAGCCTCAGTTTCCTCTCTGTCAGGTGGTTGTAACTGCAGCAACCTTCTAATGTGGTCCAGAGAACCGCTGGGGCTCACGGATGCAGAGCACTTTATAACTACGTCATAAAGGTTAGCTTTTACTACTAAGGAGGCGTGGGTGGGCAGATGACTAGTGGGGTGGAACACCGCGGATCAAAGGGGTCCCAGCCATTCATCTCTCACCCTCTTGTGAAGGATGTAAGTTCCCTCGGCAAATGAGAAACACCAAAGGCTGAGACAGAAGCCGCGCATCAGCATCCGGGGTCTGGGCAGCTCTTACTTCTTTCTTTCTCCCCGCAGGTGCCTTCGTGGTGTGCTGGACGCCAGGTCTCGTGGTGCTGCTGCTGGATGGCCTGAACTGCAAGCAGTGCGGCGTGCAGCATGTGAAGCGCTGGTTCCTGCTGCTGGCGCTGCTCAACTCCGTCATGAACCCCATCATCTACTCTTACAAGGACGAGGACATGTACAGCACCATGAGGAAGATGATCTGCTGCACCTCGCAGGACAGCAGCACTGAGCGGCGCCCCTCCCGTATCCCCTCCACCATCCACAGCAGGAGTGACACCGGCAGCCAGTACCTGGAGGACAGCATCAGCCAGGGCCCCGTGTGCACTAAAAATGGCTCCTAAACCAAGGATGTTTCTCCTCTCTCCCCCTGGGGAAAGAGCTTTTAAGAATCCTTGCCTGTCTAAAAAAGCCCATGCATGGACAGTGTTGTTTGAGGTCTCCATGAGTCACTGCTGGGGTTTTTAAGTTTTCATTGTCAAGGAAGATAAGACACTGCGTTGAGTGAAAGTGCACAGAAAAGGAAGGCAGAAACAAGGAGTTCCTGCTTGCTGTCTGCGGACAGCTCGAGACATCCTCCAGCTCTGGGCTCTGCGATCATCTCGCCGCCATTATCTCTGTGTTTTCAAAGATAGCGTTGAAGGGTCTAGGTCAAAAGAAACAATAAGTCATGGTACTTGAGCCTGCTTGTGTGGCTGCTAGACTCTAGGTAGTTGTCTCTGCATGCGTTCAAAATGTTTAAAAATGCTTTAGCAGTGGGCTTTGTTTTCACCAAAGACACTTGGGCCAAGAGCTAGATGTACTGTAGGAATCTGGGGAAAACCGGTACAGGTTCTGGAGTAAACTTGATTTATAACCAGATGAACTTTCTGAGGAAAAACGTTTATTGAAAAGAACACTGAAAATGTAGAAATACGGAATATGAGCATGAGTAGAGCCTCAGTCTTGGCTATCTCGATACCACTGGTAGGCTTGCTGGATTCAGTGTGCAAAGGAATTGCATATCTAGTGTTTGACCCAGAGCTGCCAGCATACTTTATCTTTCTTATGGACTGAATTTTGATCTTGTATTTTTCTCCTCCAAAGACCAATGAAAGACAGATCAGTTAAAGACAAAAACAGTGTTGTATGCACATAGGCTACTGACCAACATTTTCTATGTAAGACAGAGTATATTCTGACTTAAAGTAAGAGTATCTTCAAGGCAGGTACTATAGTATTTATGTAGTTTGTAAAAGTTTACATGTTTTCTTTCCTTTTCTTCCTTTTTTTGCTGTTGTGATATAACATTTATGTGCACAAACTACTTGTAATAAAAGAATTTAAGAAGTTATTCTTTGAGATATAACGGCCTAAAATATAGAGCATTATAATTTGAAGGCTTAGATTTTTTCATGCTTGCTGCAGTAGGTGGATGTACCCAAAGCTTATGTTAAAGCTACCTATAAAATAAAATTTTAAAAGGACCTGTTCTCCCTTGATGAGGTCCATTATTGCTTTTTATATTATCTAAGCAAAAATACAGCTTGTGGTGACTGTGACTCACATTTCTATTACAGAAGAAAAATCAAATTTGCCATGAAGTACATACTGTCGGTGTTTTATGTAAGCATTCCGAATCTACAGCTGGCCAAAGGGTGGAGAACTGAAATTGAATTCCAGTCCCTGAATAGCTACTAAGGGATCTTTAAAGGTTTTATTTTAAGGCAAGAACCATTTTTAGTGCCCTGCATCTGAGTGTCATATTCAGAATGGTGTCTGGAGGGGATCCAAAATGTGGAAACACAGTGTGGAAATATATAGCTTTTGTTTTTATGCTCACACACATCTCAAGAATGGCACAAGAATAGGGAATTCATGTATATTTGGAAATGATAATTGGAGAGGTTACAGAGTTCACTGAGACCACTCAGGAAATCCAGCCTTTAGTGTGTGAGGGGAATGAATGCAAAGAAAGAAGTTCCCCTGGCAATTCTAAGACCCTGAATCTGCAAATCTTATCTTCATTCATTGCAGTGGTCGTACTGAGCATTTTGCCCAGACTTTGCCAGATCCATATTTGAGTCTAAGCACAGGTCAAACAAGACTTCATCCCTTACACACTTAAAGTTTGTAGCATTGTCTGTAGTGTTCTGGTCAACCTGTATTGTTGAGAGAAAGTCCAGTGTGGACACTCCTGGCTTGGAAAGAAATATTTTTTTTTAAAAACAATCTTTTGAAATTTCTTGGTGAAATACAATTTTGTTGCAACTGAGTAGTAGATGTGGGGCCCGTTTCTGACATTCAGAAGCCCTGAGTTTGAATACAATGACAGAACCATCCTGACTGCATTTGTACAGCTCCAAATAAGGCCAATATTAGCTTCCCACATCAGTGTATGCCTCTTAACTTTGTGAATTACTTTGTGGAAACCATTATCTTGATGCTTTTTACAAATGCTAAAAATCAAAATGGGTCCAGATGCCCTGGCCTCCTTGGCTCTCTGAGCACATGCCCAGCTTACATTAAGACAACCTGGGACCAAGAGCCCAGCATGTGCTGTAGCAAGTATGACTCTGTTCACGTGCAACTACTGCCCCATGCAACGGGGTTTTCTAAGCTCTGTGTTTACAGATGAGCCTGTGAGCTCATTAATCCTCTGATCACGGGAGGGTGGTAAGACTATCTGATCCTCTTTTTCTCATTGGTGGGGCAAGTGGAATGAAGGTGAGCCCTGTAAAGACACCGTGAAGGTGACTTAGTGACAACTCAAAACTCATCAGAACCTGGAATAAAAATAGCCTCAACATTACCCTACAACACGATGCATCTCATTGTGTCCTAAAGAGAATTAATAACACACACAGCAGATCTGACTGCTGGGAAGCTTACTGTAGAATCTCATTCCCTTTGTGGATCACTACACATGGTGTTAAATTGGAAACCCCCAAAGCTCCTTCAGTTTTATGTGTTGGCTTTCAGGCACAGAGGTTGGGGTGGGTATTGCTTAAAGATGAGAATTTTTAAAGTAAGAGAAAGTGTGTTTTGCATGAGGGATGCTCTCCCAAACACGTCACACAGTTTGCTCATAATTTAATACTAGTTTCCACAGAGATAGAAGTGTTAGTAGGCATGCTGTTGCTGGGTTTTTTGTTTTGTGTTGTTTTGTTTCCCTGCTGCTGTATTTTATCATTTTCTCCACTGTATCTTAGAATGTGCCTTTTCTTAAATTATCAGATGGCAGGTTATCGACTACAGTTGTTAGGAGTGTGGAGTGCTTTATCATCTGTAACATCTGGAATAGGTTTATTGTGCAAACATTAACATGAAACATTGGCTTGTGTGTGTGTGTAAGTTTCAGAGTGCATAAATAAAAGTCCCACCATACTATGTAACACAGTGACTATGGGGACAATCAGTGATCAAGGTTGGCAGTTCACTGGACCAGTCAGTTCTGGATCTTGCAGTTCATGGCTGTTTTTAAAAAGTTTCAATTTTATGCAGTAGCACATAAAATTTGTACAATTCAATTTTCATAAAATGTACCTGTACTTTATTTTTTGTTTAGATTAGAGCTTGCACATTATATGATAAGGTATATTGAATAAAGAGGGGAGGGCTGTGTACCATAGTTCATGCTGCATCTTTGTGTACACTAGGAAAAAATGTCTGCTACTTCCTGAAATCACTTTCACATTTTTTTATGTGTGTACATGTTCATGTGTGCAGGTGTGCATGCACATGTATATCCATGTATGAGAAGACTAGAGGTCAATCATAGGTGTCATTCATCAGGACACTGTCCACCTTGTTTTTTTTTTTTTTTTTTTTTTGAGACAGGGTCTCTCACTAACACAGATATTATTGGTTAGCAACATTTCAGGTTACAAAATCAACATACAAAACAGGTATCTTTCATATATACTAATAATGGAATTACTCAGAAAGATATTAGGGAAAATACCCTACTCACAGTAGCACAAAAAAGTACCTAAGAATAAACTTAATCAACGAAACAAAAGACCTCTGTAATGAAAAATTTAAGACACTGAAATAAGAAATTACAAAGATACTAAATAAAAAGACCTTTCCATGCTCCTGGATTAGCAGATTTAATATGTGAATGTGGCTATATTACCAAAGTAACCTACAGATTTGATGTAACGCTCCATCAAAATTCAAATGATGTCCCTTGTGGTCATAGTTGATATACAACCACGGACAATATATCTCGACATCATCCATCCCTCATGTCTCTAAGATCTTGACACAACAGTGAATAAGAAAGGTAGATATAAAATTCAGACATGCAAAGTCATTAAAAGTAAGACTTATTGACCCTGTCAGATCTTAAAAGAGAGAGCAGATCAAACCATTTGCAGGAAGGAGCAGTGTTTGATCCAAGGAGAAGAATGAGTTTTTATGAGGGAGAGTAACACCAAAGGTTCTTCATTTGATAGGAAGAGGGGTATGATTAGTGCACCTGTGAGGAAATTTTCATGAGATTATCTTGATATAATACATGTGGAAACCAAAGGCCATAAGATCGAATGAGTGTTCAAAATAAACTGTGACTAAATCAAGAGTGGGCTTTATTTAAGTTCCCCCTGAGATGGTCTCTATTCAAAAAATATTGATTTCTTAATAACTATGTATAAATTCAGATTCGTAAGAACCAATGTTGAATAATAATAAGCTACCCTAATGGTGAAGGCCTTCACTATTAGAGTACTTCAATTTTTGAGAATATGCTAAAAAAAAAAATGATTCCAAACTGGGAAAGGGCTTTGTACACAATGGTGGTTAACACAGCATGATTTATGGCAACTAGGACCTTCTAAACTATGTAAATACTCAAATGTATAATGCAATGCCCCACAGGCCAGGCCACCACTGTGACACTTTCATATACTAGCCAGGTGACATTGACAAGTTACTCTGTGCCTTAGTTTATCTATCTCTAAAGAAAGATGATAATTATATCTCATAGGGTTTTATGGAGCTTAAGGGGATCATAGATAAGATACTCACAATAGGGCTGGCCACTGAGCATGCAGAGTTACTGCTGGAATGCTACTTAGCAATTTAAAATTACAGACATGAATAATCTAATGGCCAAAACATGTATATTATAGACTTTTCTGATGGACTGATTATTGTATAAAGAAATGTGTCTTGAGAATGACTTTAAGGGCTTGGGTCAGAGCTACTACTAAAGTGGAATTAATTTTGCAGAAACAGGACACCAGAAACACCCTATGTGGGGTGATTAGAATTCAGTTTTAGGTGTGACATTTGACATTGTTGAGACAGAACCAGGTGGAGATGCCAACAAGGCAGCCAGGGACACAAATCTAGATTGTAGATTTCAGTCTCAGAGACAGTTGTGTATGAGTGACATTAAAACCCTGAGCCGAGAATTCACTCAGCTGGTGAGTGAACACAGACATAATAACAGGTTGGAGACTCTGCCTTGAGGATTCTCCGTGTCTGAAAGACAGAGATACAAGAAGTCAGTCAAGGAGACAGACGACTTGCTGGAGGAAAAGACCCAGAAATGCACAGAGACCCTGGAGAGGACAGCTCTCAAGCACTCCGAGTCAAGACTTGAGATTTCGCTGTTAATTTGGCCTTAGAAGTTAGGAGGGCACTGACAGCGTCGTCTCGGTGGAGTGGTGGGGATGAGAGCCAGTTTGAAACGGGTTCAAAGGAAAATGGGAAGAGAGGTTTGGAAGCAGGGAGGATGGCTATTTTTGAGGCAATCCTTGTTTTGTTTTGTTTTTCCTGAAATGGGACCACAGAAACAGAGTAGCAGCTGGAGGGTCATGTGAGGTCAGTGAGGGATTAGATGCTGGAAGGAATGGGTGACAATTCAGGACATCAGTGACAATGATAGAAGGAACTGGAAAGATATTCATGAAGGGGCTGGTCACACAGGGACATTCCACTCAGTAAGAAGAGGGAAGACAAGGTATGGCAGCAATGAAGGAGGGAGGTATTCACTTGTTTCCTGTGTTATAGGTAAATGAACATTTCAGGCTATGAGCAAAGAATAAATGCTAAGTCAGGATGAGTCAGAGGTTGAGAAAAGGAAAAAGCAATCGTAGTGCAAGCCTTACAACAGAGGCTCCATGAGTGAAAACAAAGACATAACAGTATGCTCACATCCTTCAAGAAACGATCCCTGTAATGAACTTATTATTAAGTTCATTAATAATGAGGGAGACCTCTACGAGGAAGCAGGTAGGGAGGTGAAGAATCAGAGCCCAGCTGGAAGCCCAGCTCCAGTGCTCACCATGCCAGACCGCTGAATAAGGCTGCCCAGGAAAGAGCAGTAGAAACCACAAGGAAGTCCTACCCCTCACCAACATTCCACCTACGGGGCCAGGAAAGGCCATGGGGGATGAAGTGCAGAGGTCTGAGGAGAGCTATCATGAAAAGTTTTATAATCTCCCCCATCCCTCACACCAGAACCCCAGGAACACTC